GGTCCTGAAAGGTCGTAGAGCCATGGGGTGGTTGGGTTAAGAGGGGTCCTGAAAGGTCGTAGAGCCATGGGGTGGTTGGGTTGGGAGGGTCCTGAAAGGTCACAGAGCCATTACATGGTTGGGTTAGGAGGCTTCCTGGCAGGTCGTAGAGGCATGGGATGGCTGAGTTGGGAGGGGTCCTGAAAGGTCGTAGAGCCATGGGATGGTTGGATTAGGAGGGGTCCTGAAAGGTCATAGAGCCATGGGGTGGTTGGGTTAGGAGGGGTCCTGAAAGGTCGTAGAGTCATGGGGTGGTTGGGTTAAGAGGGGTTCTGAAAGGTTGTAGAGTCATGGGATGGTTGGGTTAAGAGGGGTCCTGAAAGGTCGTAGAGCCATGGGGTGGTTGGGTTAAGAGGGGTTCTGAAAGGTCACAGAGCCATGAGATGGCTGGTTTGGGAGGGGTCCTGAAAGGTCGTAGAGTCGTGGGATGGTTAGGTTAGGAGGAGTCCTGAAAGGCTGTGGGATGGTTGGGTTAAGAGGGGTCCTGAAAGGTCGTAGAGCCATGGGGTGATTGGGTTAGGAGGGTCCTGGCAGGTCGTAGAGCCATGGGATGGCTGGGTTAGGAGGGGTCCTGAAAGGCCGTACAGCCATGGGGCGGTTGGGTTAGGAGGATCCTGAAAGGTCACAGAGCCATGGGGTGCTTGGATGAGGAGGGGTCCTGAAAGGTAGAGCCATGGGGTGGTTGGGTTGGGAGGGGTCCTGAAAGGTTGTAGAGCCATGGGGCTGTTGGGTTAAGAGGGGTCCTGAAAGGTCGTAGAGCCATGGGGTGGTTGGGTTAGGAGGGGTCCTGAAAGGTCGTAGAGCCATGGGATGGTTGAGTTGGAAGAGTCCTGGAGGAGCATAGAGCCATGGGATGGTTGATTTGGAATGGTCCTGAAAAGTCACAGAACCAGAAGCATGGGATGGTTGGATTTGGGAAGTTCCTTAAAGATCACAGAACCACAGGATGGTTGGGTTGGAAGGGTCCTTAAAGATCATAGAGACATGGGATGGTTGGGTTGGACGGGTCCTTTAAAATCACAGAAATGTAAGATTGTTGAGTTGGAAGGGTCCTGAAAGATCACAGAACCATGGGATGGTTGGGTTGGAAGGGTCCTTGAAGGTCACAGAACCATGGGATGGTTGGGTTGGAAGGGTCCTGAAGGATCACAGAACCATGGAATGGTTGAGTTGGAAGGGTCCTTGAAGGTCACAGAACCACAGGATGGTTGGGATGGGAGCGTCCTGAAAGATCACAGAACTATGGAATAGTTGGGTTGGAAGGGTCCTGAAAGATCACAGAAACATGGGATGGTTGGGTTGGAAGGGACCTGAAAGGTCATAGCGCCATAAGATGGTTGGGTTGGAAGGGTCCTGAAAGGTCACAGAACCATGGGATGGTTGGGTTAGATGGGTCCTTGAAGGTCACAGAACCAGAGCATGGTTGGGTTGGAAGGGTCCTGAAAGATCACAGAACCATGGGATGGCTGGGTTAGATGGATCCTTGAAGGTCACAGAACCAGAGCATGGTTGGGTTGGAAGGGTCCTGAAAGATCACAGAACCATGGGATGGTTGGGTTGGAAGGGTCCTGAAAGGTCACGGAACCATGAGATGGTTGGGTTGGAAAGGTCCTGAAAGATCACAGAACCATGGAATGGTTGCGTTGGAAGGGTCCTGAAAGATCATAGAACCATGGGATGGTTGTGTTGGAAGGGTCCTGAAAAATCATGGAACCACAGGATGGTTGGGTTGGTGGCCCCGCAGGTTCGAGAAGCTCGACATCACCCCTAAAAGCGCTCAGAAGCTGAAGCCGGTGCTGGAGAAATGGCTGAGCGAAGCGGAGCTGCGCAACCAGGAGGGCCAGCAGAACCTGATGGAGTTCGTTGGCGGGGAGCCGTCCAAGAAACGCAAGCGCCGCACGTCCTTCACCCCGCAGGCCATCGAGGCGCTCAACGCCTACTTCGAGAAGAACGCGCTGCCCACGGGCCAGGAGATCACCGAGATCGCCAAGGAGCTCAACTACGACCGCGAGGTCGTCCGCGTGTGGTTCTGCAACCGCCGCCAGACGCTGAAGAACACGAGCAAACTCAACGTCTTTCAGATCCCCTAAGGATGGGGGTCCCCCCTCCG